AGATAGATAGATAGATAGATAGATAGATAGATAGATAGATAGATAGATAGATAGATAGATAGATAGATAGATAGATAGATAGATAGATAATCATCTATCCATTACTCTATCATCTATTTATCTATTTATCGCCCATCCATCTATCTATGTGTATCCATCCATTATCTGTCATCTATTCATCCATCCCTCTATCCACCTATCCATTCTATCATCTGTCAGCCATACATCTTATCTTTCTGTATATATTTAATCCGATATCTAGCTATATTTATCCATCCATCAATTTCTATCCATCTACCATCCATTTCTTTCTATTCACCCATGTTTATCATCTATCATCCTTCCATCCACCCCTCTATCCATCATCCCTCTATCCATCATCTGTCACCCAACCATCTGCTAGCTATCAGCCATCAGCCATCCATCCATCCATCCATCATTTCTCTACATTACTATCTATCTCCGTCTCTGCCTACCTACCGACCTCCCTTTCTCTCTCTCCTCTCTACCTACCTACCACCTATAGACATATCTATCCATCTCTCTATCCACCATCTCTCATCTCTCTCTCTCTTTCTTTCTCCCACTGCTTATTCACCAAATTCCCAGGTAGCCTCCACTTTCTAAAAAATACCCCACACAAACAAAACCTCAAACGTTTTCAGCTTCGTCCGGATCGTAACCTACCCAAGTCCAGATGCGGTCCTACCCCCCCACCCCCACCCCTCCGCGATGTTCAGGGCAGGAGGAGGAGGGGGCAAAGGTCCCTCCCCATTTCCCCAAGAAATACATAGACACACACACACGCACATACACACACACAGATATACATACACAGGTGGGACAACTCCAGAGTCGAAATGAGCACACGGGAGAAGAGGAGGAGGAGGAGGAGGAAGAAGAAGAGTTAGTCAGGAGGAAGAGGAAGACAACGGCCCTCAGGTCCTGATGTACTTACATTCCCACCTCCAGGGACATGCTTAATATTGTCCTTGGATCCACATTTGGACTGGACGTGGCTGTAGTTCGCTTTTTGGGACAGTATCTGGACCTGGAGAGTCAACAGAGATGGAGAGAAGGACACAAAGGGAAAAGGACTGGTTAGGTTTCTCTCTCTCTCTCTCTCTCTCCTCTCTCTCATTCTCTTTCTCTCTCTCCTCTCTCTCTTTCTCTCTCTCTTTCTCTCTCCTCTCTCTCCTCCCTCCCTCTCCTTCTCTTTCTCTCTCTCTTCTTCTCTTTCTCTCCCACTCCTTCTCTCTCTCCTCTCTCTCTCTCTCCTTCTCTCTCTCTCCTCTCTCTCTCCTTCTCTCTCTCTCCTCTCTCTCTTTCCTCTCTCTCTCCCCTTCTCTCCTCTCTCTCCTTCTCTTTCTCTCTCTCCTCTCTCTCTCTTCTCTCTCTCCTCTCTCTCTCCTTCTCTCTCTCTCTTCTCTTTCTCTCTCTCTCCTCTCTCTCTCTCTCCTTTCTCTCTCTCTCCTCTCCTCTCTTTCTCTCACTCCTTCTCTCTCTCTCCTTCTCTCTCTCTCTCCTCTCTCTCGCTCCTTCTCTCTCTCTCTTCTCTCTCTTTTTCTTCTCTCTCTCTCCTTCTCTCTCTCTCACTGAATCACACAGCAAACGGAGGGACAAGACAGACAAGAGCGCACGCGTGTGTTAGCCACGCCATCCGAACGATTCCAAGGGTTAGGGAGGGCCAGACGCAGACAAGGGAGAGGAGGAGACAGAGGAAGAAGAGAAGGAAAAAGGAGAGAGGAAGGAAGGGAGGGGAAAAAATGAAATGGAAAAAAGAAGGAAGAGGGGGAGGAGTCAGAGGGAGAAGAGGAAAAAAATGAGGGAGCCACAAACTCAGTGAAGGAAACCTGGAGGAGGAGGGGGATGTGGAGGAGGAGACAGGAAAAGCGGAGGAAAAAAACAAGGAAGCCATGGATTCAGAGAAGGAAAGATGGTAGAGGAGGAGGAAGAGGAGGAGGAGGAGGAGGAGGAGGAGGAGGAGGAGGAGGAGGAGGAGGAGGAGGAGGAGGAGGAAGAGGAAGGGTCCTGGACTCAGCGGAGAGGAAGAGGAGGGGGGAGACAGAGGAAGGAAAAAACGAAGGAGCCACGAACTCAGCGAAGGGAAAGAGGAGGAGGAGGAGGAAGAAGAGAAAGACAAAGGAAGCAGAAGAAGAGAAAAGGAGCCAGGGAATCAATGGAGAAAACCACGAGAGGGAGGAGGAGGAGGAGGAGGAAGAGAACGAGAAAGAAGGAAATAAGAGGAAAAAATGAAGGAGCCAGAGATCCAGTGAAGGAATGTGGGTGAGGAGGAGGAGGAGAGAAGGAGTCGTGGACTCAGAGAAGGAAAGGAGGAATGAGGAGGAGACAGAGGAAGGAGAAGAAAAGAACAGAGGAGCCACCGATTCAGCAAAGGAAAACAGGATTAGTTAAAAGCAGCATATGTCCTGCAAAGCAGCTCACTCAGGATGCCCCCCCACCTCCTCAAAGGGGATCTGGCTCTCTGAAAAGGGCCTCTCCCCCCCCCCCCTCACCCTACCCAGGAGAGGGGATCCTTGAGAAATCCTTGGGAAATGTATATATCTCCTTAAAGGCCCAACTAACATTCACCACATTATGCTTTCGAATGCCTTTTCGGCTAACTTGAATCCAACAGGCATCGTAACTCGGAGGCTTCTTGTCTATTTAAATCTTGGGCATCCTGGCTAGGGAATTCTGGGAGTTATAATCCCACCAACACCACAGGCCAAGATTAAGAAACCCTGGACTTGTAACCGGGGTTTTTTGGGGGGGGACTTAATAAATTATGAAATGAAGAAACGTGATGATACATCAGAACAAAGATGGGGTCATCTTAAGAGGCACTTTGGCCAGAAGGACAAGAATCTCTTTTCTCTTCTTTATGGATAAGACCCCCCCCACCCAGCTCCCCAAACCCCTCAACTCTTTCCTTAGTCGACCACAAGACCTCTACTCAGAGACCCATGCTCCCCGGCAATGCTGCCCCCTCTGAAAAGCATCGTGCGCGAGCAAAGACTCCCCCCAAAAAAGACCCAGAGGTGAACTCAAGTCAGAGAGGAAGAAAAAGTGACCCAAAGAGGAAAGAGAGTAAAAAAGACGGGGGAAAAAATAAAATAAAAATCTAGGTAGTCCTCGACTTACGATCACAATTCCTGTCGCTAAAGTGAGACGCCGGGTGAGGGAGTTTTGGCCCCACTCAACCACCTCTGTTGCCTAGCCAACCGTTACAAAATGAGTTGCGTGGTTGTTAAGGGAATCGGATTTCCCCCCACGGACGCTGCTGGTTGGAAGGTCGCAAGAGGGAATCGCGTGAAACACTCCCCCCCTCTCCCCGGGATGCTGACATCCCCGGGACGCTGCAACGGTCATAAGTACACGCCAGTTGCCAAGCGTCGGAATTTGGATCAGGTGACTAGGGAGTGTTTTTTTTTAAAAAAAAATGACAGCAAGTGGGCTTTTTGGGGGGAGGGGGAGGGGGGCTGGAACTTCCGGATGGTCATTCAGGGAACGGTCGTAAGCCGAGGACTACCAGGAGAAGGAGATCTAGGAGCGGAGGGCGGCTCTCTCCTCTCCCAGGCGCCGGAAGTTGAAAAAGAGGACTCACTTTCCCGTTGGGTGACTTTGCAAGCCCTTCTTTAGAAACGGCTGTTTTATTGGGAGAGGTTTTGGATACCAAGTTGGACTCGGAGTTTCGAGAAGCCACACTGGATTTTGTCTCTATTTTGGCCTAAAATGGAGATAAAGTTAGGAGTTTTCAGATCATCAGAATGGCAAAAAAACAAAAAACGTCCTGTCGCGGTTGCCAATGGGGATGCTCAAGGGACGGCGAAGACTGCAGGAGGTCTTCGGAGTTATAACCAAAAAGGGGCCATTTCCATCACTAAGCGAGACGGCGGCGAAGAGCATCCCATGTCACGACTTCCTGGCCGGGGTTTTGAAGCGAATCCCTGGCTGTCGTTAAGCGACTCACGCGGCCGTTAAGGAAATCTGGTGTAACCCGTTCAATGTGGCTTCGCGGAAGCTGGCTGGGAAAGTCGCAACTGTCGTGAATACACGCCAGTTCCAAGCTGTTGTGAGTTTGGGGGGGTGCTACGATGGTCGTTAAAATGAGGAGGGGGTGTGTGTGTCTTTGGTGCTTTCTGAGTGTGGTAGTTTCCCAGGGGACGTTTTGTGGCCCCAACTATATTATGTTATCAGTGCTACAGAGAAGTGGGATTTGTGGAGAGGGGGAGGACTGTGGGATGCTCGGTGCTCTCTGAGCTTGGTGGTTTTTTTGCAGACATCTCGTGACCCAACTAAGTAGCATCATCAGTGCTTAGAAGGGATTGGATATCAACAGAGAGGAACTCCCCCTCCCTTCTAGCTCTGATGACGTTCCCTAGTTGGGTCATGAGATGTCTGCAAGGAAACCACCAAGCTCAGAGAGCACCAAGGACCTCACTGTCCACTCCTCAGCTGCAGCTACTCCCATCCGCTGTCCCCAAATTTCCCAGAATTCCATTCTTTCAACTTACGTGACAAAAACATGGAGGGTTGGAGTCAACTTCTGGCTCTCAAGAAGGTCCAAAGGTTGGATTTATATAATAGAATAACAGAGCTTGAAACTAAACACCAAGTGAGGGATCAGAAGGAGATATGAACCTTCTCCTTGGATCACCACAACTGGTGTCCAGAGTTACTTCTGAACTCATTCAAACTCGAGAAAGGTGATTATCAAACTAGGGTTCAGGAAACCAAGTTGGCTTCCACCGTGAGCCCCCATTTTTCCCCAAATGAGAGCAACCCAAGAAAGTTGAGGAGATATTTCTAGGTGTCCCTCAACAACCCAGCATTCAAAAGCTTGATTTACACAAGAGGGCCACTGCACAACTCAACAGGATGTTGGACAAAGATGTTGGGAATGACTGAGAGAAGACCAGGGGGCTGGAGATGTTCCCATGGAAAGTCCTCTCTAGAGATGGAGAAGTTGTGGTCCTCCAATAGCAATAGCAATAGCAATAGCAGTAGACTTATATACCGCTTCATAGGCCTTTCAGGCCTCTCTAAGCGGTTTACAGAGAGTCAGCATATTGCCCCCAACAATCTGGGTCCTCATTTTACCCACCTCGGAAGGATGGAAGGCTGAGTCAACCCTGAGCCGGTGAGATTTGAACCGCTGACCTGCTGATCTAGCAGTAGCCTGCAGTGCTGCATTTAACCACTGCACCACCTTGGCTCCTCAAAAGCTATTGAGATGACAATAGCTGCGGTTCTTCGTCCCCGGGATTGGTTGTCTGCTGGGGATCTCAATCCAGGCCAGAAGGAAGATCTACAGAAGTTCACAGGCAACGGGGGTCTTCCTCTGGACCACTCGACCGCAGGATGAGAGTGGATCCTTCATATCTAGAGAGAAGTACCCTCCTCCAGACACTCCTTCCCCCCTTCTCCACCCCACTCCAAGAAAGATGGTCGCTTCACTAGGAGGTTGAATTCCCTCTTTCCTTCAGCTGCCAGGTTCTACCACTCAAATCAAGGTCCAGGAGAACATCTGCTGAACACGAAGGCTGCTTAAAACCTTAGGAAAGGAGGAGGGCTGAAGGACGTCATGAGTTCCTTCACCCTCAACCCAAGGCAACAAAACTGGGATTGAAAGGTTTTGAATCATCTCCATGGCCAAGCCTACAAAGACGATGGTCCAGCAGAATCAACTCTGGGATAGTGTTTCATAGTTGACCACTTTAAGATGGGTGGAATTCTGAGTGAAAACGTTTTGGGTGGGCCTTCTGGGGTGGGAAGGGAAGCCAAGATGTGGGCTCAACCCACGAGCGAATGGAAGAGTGAACCTGGGAGAACATCACGTCCACTGAAGGCGATCAACTGATCCAAGGAATTGAATGGGTGAACAAACAACGCGATCAATAAAACGATAGGTGAAGTCTTCTGCAACGCTTTGGCCAAGAAGAGCGGGCTAGTTAAGTTTGGAGGGTCCCAGCAGAGAGACCTTTAGGATTGTGGTGTACTCGGTGGTCTCTGAGCTGGGCGGTTTCCTTGCAGGCGTTTCGTGACCCAACTACGGAACTTCATCAGTGCTAGAAGGGAGGGGAAGGTTGCAAAGAGGAGGAGGAGGAAGAAAGGATTGTGGGGTTCTTGGGGTTCTCTGAGCTTGTTTCTTTGCAGAATGTGTCATGACCCAACTCAGGAACATCATCAGTGCTAGAAGAGTTGGGGGTTTTTCTATATTCTAGCACTGATGATGTTCTCTAGTTAGGTCATGAGATGTCTTCAAGAGACACCGAAGCTCAGTGAGCACCAACAACCCCCCAATCCTTCCTCCTCCTCTTCCCTTTAACCTCCCCCCCTTCCTTCTACCGCTGATGATGTTCCCTAGTTGGGTCACGAAATGTCTCCAAGGAAACCACCAGGCCGGGAGACCCCCCCCAAGGATCTCACTGTTCAACCCTGAGTTACAAATGTTCTCTTCTACAGGGACCTTCAGCAGTGCGGAGGCTCTCCAGCCCAGCTCTGGTTTCATCTTCCAAAAGGGTCTACTACGAAAGTCCCAGCTTGCAGGATACCAACAACCAACATCTCCCACCAATCTTGGACCAACCTCTTCCCTATCACGGCAGGGAAGCTCCATGGATGTGTTTCTGGAAGTCCACCAGAACTTCCCCAACCTCTTGACCAAGAAAGAGAAGGTACGTAAGCATCTCCAACTCCCAGCAAACTCTCATCCCAGACGCTAGGAAGTTGAGGTTCTCCTTCTTGGGACGGTGACATCTCAACCGCAAAGATCCGGATCCATCAGAACTGAGCCAGCCATACTCAGCGATGGTCCCACGTGACCAACTAATGGATCTCCTAACCCTCCATACTTTCAAACCAGCACGGTGGCATCTCTGCAAGGTTTACGGCTTGAGGAACCGCCTCTGGATCTCTCTGGATCGACCGGAGTCCCCCCAGGGGAACGACTCACCTTTCCTCCGCCCGGCTGATATTTGATGTTATCCGTGGAACCGATTTTGGAGCGGACGTTCTTCAGATCCGGAACGGAGATGCTAGTCGAAGGCCGTGAAGGCTTGGAGACCGAGCTGGTTTTGGGAAGAGCCTTGGGCGCCAATGGTGTCTTCTTGGCTTCGGCCGCGACGCCTGCCGTCCCCGGAGGCTTGGAAGCCGCGGGTTTCGCCTTGGGGCGGGCGGCTGCGGATCCCAACGGTGCAGGAGAAGAGGTGGTGGACGCTGGGGCGCTCCTGGGGCGACTCGGCTCGGCTGCAGGAAGGGAAGAGGAAGGTGAGGAGGACGGCGACATCCCCACGGAGAAAGGGGGGACGTTTGGGGGAACGGATCTCAAGAGGGGGGATTTACCTGTCGATGATTTTGCCGGGACCTTCTTCGCATCGGCGGCTTTGATTTCTGTCTTGACGGCTGCACGAGGTAATGAAGACCAACACCGGTTGATTCCCATCCTGCTTTATTTTATTATTTCGTTTTATTATTTCTCTAGGAAGGACTCAAGAGCCACGAAGGTATCTGACAGACCTCCCTATTTTCCCCGCGGCAACAACCTGGCGAGGTGGCTTAGCATCCTCCGTTAACCTACATCCCCTCCGCCTGGCTCTTAGGAAGCGTCGGAAGAGGATTCGCGGCCCTGGCTGAGGGCTGAATCACTCTCTGAGCTGGCTGGGTTCCCTTGTAGGGGTTTCAAGACCCAACTAGGAAACGTTGTGACTGCTAGAAGGGAGGGGGGGCTGAGGAGGAGGAAGAGGAGAAGGGGAGGGGGAGGGGGAGGAAGAGAGGAGGTCCTTGGGGCTCTCTGAGCTTCAATGCTTTCTCGCAGGGAGGGAGATGGATGAGGATGGATGGATGGATGGATGGATGGATGGATGGGATGGAAGGACAGACAGAAGGAAGGAAGGAAGGAAGGAAGGAAGGAAGGAAGGAAGGAAGGAAGGACAGAAGGAAGGACAGAAGGAAGGAAAAACAGAAGGAAGGGAAGGAAGGACAGACAGAAGGAAAGAAGGAAGGACAGACAGAAGGAAAGAAGGAAGGAAGGGAAGGAAGGAAAAATGGAAGGAAGGAAAGACAGAAGGGACAGACAGAAGGAAGGAAAGAAAAACAGAAGGAAGGAAGGACAGAAGGAAGGACAGACAGAAGGAAGGAGGGAAAAACAGAAGGAAGGAAGGAAAATGGAAGGAAGGAAGGAAGGAAGGAAGGAAGGAAGGAAGGAAGGAAGGAAGGAAGGAAGGAAAGACAGAAGGGACATACAGAAGGAAGGAAGGAAGGAAGAACAGAAGGAAGAGAAGGAAGGACAAACAGAGGAAAGAAGGAAGGACAGACAGAAGGAAGGAAAAACAGAAGGAAGGAAGGAAAATGGAAGGAAGGAAGGAAGGAAGGAAGGAAAGAAAGACAGAAGGGACATACAGAAGGCAGGAAGGAAGGAAGAACAGAAGGAAGAGAAGGAAAATGGAAGGAAGGAAGGAAGGCAGGAAGGAAGGAAAGACAGAAGGGACATACAGAAGGAAGAACAGAATGAAGAGAAGGAAGGACAAACAGAGGAAAGAAGGAAGGAAGGGAAGGAAGGAAGGAAAAACAGAAGGAAGGAAGGACAGAAGGAAGGACAGACAGAAGGAAGGAAGGACAGAAGGAAGGAAGGAAAATGGAAGGAAGGAAGGAAGGAAGGAAAGACAGAAGGGACATACAGAAGGAAGGAAGGAAGAACAGAAGGAAGAGAAGGAAGGACAGAGGAAAGAAGGAAGGAAAAACAGAAGGAAGGGAAGGAAGGAAGGAAGGACAGAAGGAAGGAAGGAAAATGGAAGGAAGGAAGGAAGGAAGGAAAGACAGAAGGGACATACAGAAGGAAGGAAGGAAGAACAGAAGGAAGAGAAGGAAGGACAGAGGAAAGAAGGAAGGAAAAACAGAAGGAAGGGAAGGAAGGAAAAACAGAAGGAAGGAAGGACAGACAGAAGGAAGGAAGGAAAATCGGAAAGAAGGAAGGAAGGAAAGGAAAGGAAGGAAAAACAGAAGGAAGGACAGACAGAAGGAAGGAAGGAAAAGAGGGAGGGACAAAGGGCCATTCTTTTGCAACTCCATTCTGCATCTAGCCCCATTCCCAAGCCAGGTTGGACATCCTGGGGCCCCACAGACCAATCCAAGGCACCATGTAGCACTTTCAACCTCCAGTGTCCCACTGATACGGCCCCACCTCCCATTCCTCCATCCCCAAAAGGCCCCCTCCCCAGNGAAAGGAGAGAGAGAGAGAGAGAGGAGAAAAGAGGGATAGAAAGAAAAAGAGGGATAGAAAGAGAAAGAGGAAAAGAGGAGAGAATAGAGAAAGGAGAGAGAGAGAGAGAGAGGAGAAAAGAGGGATAGAAAGAAAAAGAGAAAAGACAGAAAGAGAAAGAGGAAAAGAGGAGAGAATAGAGAAAGGAGAGAGAGAGAGAGAGAGGAGAAAAGAGGGATAGAAAGAAAAAGAGAAAAGACAGAAAGAGAAAGAGGAAAAGAGGAGAGAATAGAGAAAGGAGAGAGAGAGAGAGAGGAGAAAAGAGGGATAGAAAGAAAAAGAGAAAAGACAGAAAGAGAAAGAGGAAAAGAGGAGAGAATAGAGAAAGGAGAGAGAGAGAGAGAGGAGAAAAGAGGGATAGAAAGAAAAAGAGAAAAGACAGAAAAAGAGGAAAAGAGGAGAAAATAGAGAAAGAAGGAGAGAGAGAGAGAGAGAGAAGAATAAACGCTGCCTTTTCCAAGGTCTTGGATAGTACCTAAGATTACTAGAAAGAGAAAACTCCTCTTTTCTTTCTTTTGGAAAATGCAGGGAAAGGAGCTCTTGGGCTCTTGTAGAGTTGGCTGTGGCTGTTCCATCCAGAGCAGGGTTGCCCAAACAGATCGGCCAAAAGAGACATTTGACCGTGTCCCGAGAGAGACCTGGGAGTCTCCTCTTCACCTGAGGAAGGGCAACCTTCTCCTCGTGGAGACTGGAGCGTGACGAAGAAACCAAGAGTTCTGAGTGTCCAGTCAACCACGATAGGAGGAGAAGCCCCAAGTGGGGACCAAGCTCCCAAGTAGCCACCTGGGACATTTTTATCCGGATTATTTCCAGAGGAAACCAGGGAAGTCATTGGGGCAGAAGGACATCTTGGTCTTCCAGGAATCCCTGCTGAGCACCTCGTTGGCATGGTGGAGAAGTTCCCCTTTGCTTCTCACCACCTCTGAAGGCCTGGGAGCAGAATAACACAGCTGAAAGAGATCTTCCAGTCCATCCCTTGCTCAGGCAGGAGACCGTGTGCCGTTTCCCAACAAACGGCTGTCCAGCCTCTTCTTAAAAACCTCCAGTGATGGAGCATCCACAACTCCTGGAGGGAAGACCTCCCCCTGACTGTCCTGCCAGGAAATTCCTCCTTAGCTCCAGGTTGAGCAGGTGGAGGGGCCTTCTTGGTGGCTGCCCCAGGAATCCTGGATCTCTGCCCCTGGGCCCAGCTGTGGGGATTGGCGTTTTCCCCTTGGCTGCTTTCAGCTCCCTTTTTATTTCATTGTCTATGGTTGCAGTTTTGTGGTTTTATTGTTATTAGTCACCTTGGACTTTGAATGGGGATTATATATATATATATGAGGCACCCCAGCACAGGGTGCGCAGAGCAGGAGCCCGGGAAGGGTGGGCCTTTGTGGGAGGGGGCCCCTGGCCATAAGGGCTTGGTCGTCTTCTCTTTTAGCAAGGGAGAACACAGAAGGTGCTTTTTTCTATCTTTCTTCCAGCCCCAGTGGAGCAGAAGGAGCTGGGCAGAGGGGCTGGATGGATGGATGGAAGCCAGAGGCCAGCGGGGGATGGCCACATCTGGGAGAGGAATTGGGGTGGGTGGGTGCAGGGACCCCTTCCCTCCCAGCAGCCCCCAGTGCAGAGGTGGAGGGGAGGCTGAGCTCCCACCAAGGGCTCTGATACTCAGAATTATAGAATGGAACTCGGCCTCAATGAGCCCAAATTTCTGTTGCTAGGTTCGACATTTGTTAATAGCGTTTTGCTCCATTTCACGACCTTTCTTGACGCAGTCAGTAAGTGAATAGCAATAGCAGTTAGACTTATATAGCGCTTCATAGGGCTTTCAGCCCTCTCTAAGTGGTTTACAGAGTCAGCATATCACCCCCAACAATCTGGGGTTTACCCACCTCGGAAGGATGGAAGGCTAAGTCAACCTTGAGCCGGTGAGATTTGAACAGCCGAACTGCAGAACTGCAGTCAGCTGAAGCAGCCTGCAGTGCTGCATTTAACCACTGCGCCACCTCTGCTGTTGATAAGTTAGTAACCCGGTTAAGTGGGGATCACGTGACCCCCAGTGGGATGCCGCAAAGGTCATATGTATGAGCCAGTTGCCAGGCGCCTGAATTCTGATCGCACCACCGTGGGGACGCTTGCAAAAGTTGTAAAGAGGAAAAATGGTCACAACTGCCATTGGAACCTTGGATGGTCACTAAGCGAACTATTGTGAGTCGAGGACTGCCGGAAGTAGGGAGGGAAGGTGGCATTTGGAGAAGGTTCTTGAGAGTCCCTACAACTGCAGAGACCCTCCACCATTTCATGGTTGCCCATCTCTTCTTCTCAACTTCCACTGATGGCTGGTTCTCACCGTCAGGGAATTCCTCCTTAGTTCTAGCTTGGATCCGTCTTCGTTGACCTCCCATTCATTATTTCTTGCCCTGCCCTCAGGGGCTTTGCAGAATAACAGAGTTGGGAGGGACCTTGGAGGTCCTCTAGTCCAACCCCTGCTCAACCTGGAAGCCCTCTACCCTTTCAGACAAATGCGTTGTTTGAATCGGTGGAGCCTCCTCTTGCCTTCACCAGATTAAACACACCTTCCCTTAGCCGTTCATCGCACGATTTAACCTCCAGATCCCCAACTGGATCTCCAGGAGGGAAAAAAAGCTTCTCCTTCCGTTTTCTGAATGCTGGGAGGGTCTCCGGAGAGGCATCCCCCCTCCCCCTGCGGGGCTCCCAATGGCCTCCAACGCCCAAATCTCTCTTTCTGCAGTTCCTCCAGAGCTCCTGTGCATGGATGGAGATTTAATTAATCAGGCCGAGCCAAAGGGATTAATAAGGGAAGACTTTTTAACCAGCCAAGAGGCCTTGAACAGGAGCCACCGAATGCCACGGAAGGAAGGAGGGGGCGGGGTGGCAATGACCCAGCCCGGCCTCAGTGCCTGGGGCTTTGGGGGGGCCCTGATGCCTGCTTTTCCTTCTTCTGCCCTAAAAGAAAGAAAGGCTTCCTAAGGAATTCTGGAATTCCAGAACTGGGGAAGGATAGTGGACGATATTCCCGCTGTCCCTGCCCAGCCTTCTGCCTGCCCTCAGCCCCTCCCCAAGAGAGCGAGGGCTGCCCAGGTGGGAGGGGAGCCTTGGAGGTTGCCGGTCGCAGGCCCTGGCACTGCCCCCCCCCCCGGAG